CTATATCTAGCTGACACTAAATATATAACAAATAAGCCTCCTAATGCATACCGAATTACTCTCTCGAAGGATAAATAAGATAACAACCATCAACCTCAAGGGTATAGATGATTTTTGCTTCCACGTAAAAATTAACCTTGAATACCATGTTAAATAATTTAATGACTTTATAGGCCAGTCCAGCATTAAGAATTAAATGATTTAAGTTAGGTCTTGAAGTAATGATTTTTTTGGGCTTGGTGACTAGCTCGTATTGGAGCCACACTTGGATAACCAGCAGGGCTCAGCTGACAAAGCGGTTGGTATCATGGTTATGTGCAAGCTCGGATGGCTGTGTCAAACTCTTCAAGAAGTTGAAGTATGGGGTTTTGGTGGAAGAGCGTAGTACCAAGCCGACAATGTATGCTTGGTATCCATCAAGATGAGCATCAAGTTGGCAATGAGAGGCCATGGAAGGTCATTTTCTTAGACAGGATCTCATCAAGGTGGGTAGCGATCCCTAGCCAACAAGGTGATTTCGTTAATGTTGTTGGCAAGACGAGAATAGCGAGGAAACTCAGTATGGGTAACGAGACTTCAACGCTGATTAGTTAAAGCATGATGAAAAGACTTCAATTAAAACTCAACACCGACCCAATGTGACCCCAAGGGCACCAAGCCGACGCCAACTAGGAACCAAAACGGCAATGAGGAGTCCTCAAGGCGATTCAAGCAGTCACCAAGTCTTCAATTACAAAGGCGGTTACACCATTCAGCTATAAATAAGAGAAATGGAAACGGAGCAAGGGCTCACAAAACCAACATATGAAGTGTATCTTTTCTCTACAAATTATCCATAGCAGTAGGATTAATTTAATATAGCTAGTTAAAAAAAATCCATAAAAAACTTCAAACTCTCGTTTTGAACTTTGTCGTAAAGATATCAACCATGTTGATAAATTGGTTGTTATATAATTCAAAGGTCATATCAACTACATTTCAACACAAGTTTTTTTGCATGAAAAAAAAAAAGTTGGACATAACATAGAATCACATCTATTCAATCCATTACCCTAACATCTTAACCTTCAATTTTGAATCCCAAACCAAAATCTCAAATTGTTAACCTAAACTCTAACCCTAAATTCCTAAACCCTCCTTCAAACTAAAGTAAATTTTAAATGATTTTTTACAAATTCATGTGTTTCTTGTTCATAATATCATAAACATCAATTGATACCGTTTTGACATGAATTGCATGCTCGAAATGACGATTAAGAAGCGGGTGTATTGAATGCACCCAAAAAAATGAGTACTCCGAAAACGTCACCATAAATATATCATCTAACAAATTGCCTTCAACCCAATTTACAGCTTTAATGTTGATGTATCACATTTTTGTTTGTTTTAATGTGGATATCCAATATAATAAGTCTAATTTAAACCCAAAAATAAAAAATAAATATATATCTACTCCAAAAGTGAGATTACCCAAACCTGGGGTTGAACAATAACCAAAATTTTGAGTATCTTTTAGCATCCTAAACCGAACAGAGCAAAGCCACGTCAGTTTCAGAGAGTGGGCAATCAAAATTACAGAGGAACTCCCTAGCATGAGAAGGACCACCAGGATTGGACAAACAAAGAAGCACTAAGAAGAATACGACAAATTAAACCTGAGTTAGATAACAGAACAGAAGATGGGCTATCTTTCTCTTCTGGGTGGGAGCATATGCTGAAAGAACCAACCGACCGAGTTTTTTAATTTTATTAAAAGTATCAAACAAACCCAGAAAACGAGTTTTAAGATTATCCACGAAGACTGGGTTGAGAAGATGATAATCATAGCTTTTCATATATTTGTTTTGGTTCAATGGCATGGGCTTGCCGTTACATGTCTGTTATATGACCTGGAAACTCTGTCTCATTTATGACCTGGAACATATTATGTCACGTGTGATGCAAAATCAACTACCAAGTATACACACCCAGCCCCCACCACAAGAAGATTTTTTCTTCATCTGATCACCTCTCCTTCCCCATATAACAGGTAACTTGTTGCGCTGAAATTCAGATAACCCCCACGTGCCTCAAAACCTATAAGAAAATCAATATTCCTATGTTGTTGTAACTTTGACCAAACTAGCCCATCAGTTTTGTCCACCTTCTAAGTTCTAACTTGGTGTATTAAAAAGAAGAGCATATATATTCGAGTTAGTATTTGTTTAACCTTATTACAGTATTTGTTCAGCCGACTTGCCAAATTGAAAAGGAAAACACATTAGGGAAACTAACTACATCACACCACATTGTAAGGATGTCAAAGTTTACCTTAAATGTTGGAAAAAAAAAGCATTCCCTAGCTCCACTTGGTTGTGGGAGCCTTGACTTTCGATTTTACCTGCACAAAAGTAGAAATCTAGAACGCACTACTTCTCTGCATTCTTTCCACCACACTTAAAGATAAGTAAAGCTGATCGTGAAAACGAACTCACTTCCACAGTTTCTTCATCCCACTTACGGTGTTTGATTATTTTTTGACGTTCTATTGCAGCCAGATAACAAAGCATCAAATAGTAACAAAAGGGTCATTTGATTCTACTACACCTTTTCTCATCCAAACATGGTGCTCTGCAGCTAATTATGCTCACAGGCCAGGATTTGATTGGCTGTTCACGTTCACATCAAGCTGTTAGCTGGATCTGAACGAAAAAAACGATGACTCTATCTCGAGTTAGGACTGGTCAATACTCAATAGGGTATGGCCTGCATGCATGAATGAATGAATGAATATCAAGCTAAATTTTCCACACTGCAAAAAAAACAAAACAGAAGTCACAGATTGTGACCCCCAGTAGTTTTCCACGTGTGGTTCACCTAATCTAAATACCCAGCTAGCTAGTAGCTATCCCATGTCAAATGCCAATGCACCAGATTTCTTCAAAGTCGGGCATTACAAACAAAAAAAAAAAAAAAGGTTTTGAGTTAGGCCTAACCTGTGGGATTCTCTTCCATGGCATCTTTACTTCTTTAGAGTACTTCGTTCAGTTGTTGTCTTAAACCAGTGGAATAAGGAACTTTCAAGAAAAGTAAAGGGACAACTCACTTCCACATATCTCCAGGGGCCCCATCATCTTTAACCTGATTAGACTTCAAAAAGGCATAAAATCAGCAGGAGGGTAAGCTCAACATTCCAGAAATATTTGTCCATACTGCTAACTACAAGTTACGGGAAAGCATGTTTCACCCCACATGATAATTACCCACAAAGCAGCTAGAAACAGACAGCAAATCTAAGGTCCCCCCACTCTAACTAGGGGAAGAAAAACTTACACGTAGCTGGTTGCATAATTAAAGTCCCTAATCAGTTTATGCACAGTAAAAAGGAACAAAGACAACAGTAGAAACATTTGATAAAATGGTTAGTGATAAAGTCAGCCACAATTAGGTCTTGCCAAACTTTGATCCCACTCCCAGATGGCTTGATCACTCTGCAGTAGCAAATGCAGAAAAACACTATTGTATCCGTTGATATAAAATTCTAAGCCTCGGAAAAGGGTTAAGTATCACCAAATTGTTAGATAGTCATGTTAGCAAGTCTGCCAAGTCAATTTATACATAGTCTACTGGGAAACAAAATCCAAGGTGGACAAAATCACCTCTGATGGCTTACCAGTACCACTGATCAAGGATTTCAAGAGCACCGCAAGCAGGGACTTCAATAACCAGACTAAAAAAGGTAAGGAAAAGGCATATCTAGAAACAGAAACAAAGTTACATGCTATAAGTAGCCCTTAACATTTATTTGTTTGATATACAGAGTATGCTTCCTCTTCCATGCAACAGATCAGCAGAGCACAGATGGTTAATGAATTCATTGATCTGGGAAAATGAAATCAAAAAATTATCCAAATGTGGGACGTCCACAATCTATAAGTATCCACTGGCACTAGATAAACCGGTCATATTCGATTTCTTCTGGTGAAACAATAGAGCAGAAAAGTGGATTCAAACTAAAACCGGTTGGCCACAAGTGATCCATACTTGGCCAACTGAGCAAGTAAAAGACTTCTTCAGAGGATGCTGTACATAATCCAGAAATAAAGCGTATGTATCCAAATCCAACAGTGAAATCTGACGTCTCTAATCTGTACTTGCATGAGATCAACAGGCAGCAATATTTTTCATTAGTACCACATTTGGGCATGAAATGGATCAAACCTAAAACCCATCACGGGATAAGCAAGGGAACTTGACCAATTCATCAGTGAAAAAGAAGCAGCAAGACAATTTGCTTACTAAATTGAGAAGTCTAAGTGAATAAACTGGCCCAGTCACAACAAACTAAAAAGGGTAAAAAGCACCAGCAGAGGGACTAACATCACTTCACATCAGGTGGCTAGAATCTACTGTAACCTGAAGTGAACCTTCATTGTATTTTTCTAATACAGAGAACCCCTGGTTTGCACCCAAAAGACCGGTAAATGTATGACGAAACAGATGTCTCGTGTACATGGCACAACCAATTTGAAGTAGTTTCCCTGTAACATACCAACTTACAAGGTCTAGAAAGAATAAGAAAAACAAACAGTGCAAATTCTACCGATCCCTGAAGACTACAATTATCACAAAGTTTCGCTAAGATGTTAAACCTACCACATGTACAGTACAAATGGATGCCAGAGGACAAGAGTTGAATGGAAGCATCACTCTAATTATCCTATCATAAATTACAATAAGCCTTAGTTGGTAGTTGTATCAGAAAGCTTCACTTGTCATATAGTCTTATGAATAACAGTGCACTGAGTGTCGAATACCCTGGCAGCTGAGAAGGTACTGAAAAGAGTTCTAGAAATCCAAAAGATTTGAAAGATAGATCTGCACATCTTCAAAGTAGGCCAGCGATCTCATGTGTGAGCATTTGAAGTAACAATGATAGGATAATTGGCCATATGAATGAATACACTAAGCAGTTACACAACCCTAGATGATGACTTAATTAATCTGGACGACATAATAAACTAAGGCTCCCAGAAAGAAAAGCCTCGATCTCTCACAACTCTTCGTGTTTCAGCTTGTCGGACGAAGTTTTTGTCACGTCCGAATCTTGTAGAAGTATCTCTGCCTGGCTTGCTTGACTGATTGCCTTCTAATTTCACCAGCTGCAGCTTTGCTATTTGCTTGTTTGACAACCATGTCTGAATCACTTCATCTATCTTAGGTTCTGGCAATAGCTGCTTCTCCTTCATTTCTGCGTAATATTGATGTGCCAACTCCAATTCGCCATTTAGAAAGAGCCCATGTATCAGCACAATATATGTGCTACGATCCGGGCTTATCCCATTCCTGATCATCAGATCCCAAAGTTTGAACACATTATCAAGTTGGCGCCATCGGCAAAACTTTCTGATCAACATAATATAGGTATCATTAGTAGGCTGGCAACCCACCTTTGACATATTTTCCAATAGCTCAAATACACCCTCAGCAGTCCTCAGGTAACGCAAGAAAGCATGATATGTCGGTATTGTTGGAGGGAGACCACGCTGTAACATTTCATCAAAGACAGCTCTTGCTTCATTGATTTTCTGTGCCTTGCACAAAGGTTTAATCAATGAATTATAAGTCACGGCATTAGGTGAAATGCCCTTCTTCTCATCCATTGTTTTCAACAGATCAATAGCTTCCTCTGCATGCCCTGCCTTTGCAAGAGCATGAATAACAGCATTATACACTTTCCTATCTGGTTCAATGTTCATCTCCTTCATCCTGTTGTATATCTTTAGCACCTTGTAAATATTGCCTGCCTTTGAATAACAAGAGATGATGCTTGCATATGAGACAACATCATAGCGGATCCCCCTTTTGGACATCTCCCTCCACACTCTCTCTGCTTCTCTAGGGCTACCAATCACATTACACCATCCATTCAGCACAATGTTAAAACTCTTTGTGTTGAACGGAAAGATCTCCTTATTGCACCACATCAACTGCTCAGCATCTTGTACATTCTTGTAACGGCTTAGAGCAGACAGAAGACCATGAAAATCTTCCATCGCCACATCGAATTTAAAGCGCTTGTGTGCATAAAATGTGTTTATAGCTTGACCAACATCGCGGGCAGCCGAATACCTCCTTATCATAATCAGCAGAGTTTGTGGAGTAACAAGCGAAACACCAGTTCTTATACCTCTCATCTCATCAACCAATGCCCATGCTGTATCAAACTTTCTCATTTTACCTAGGATAGAGATCATAGCATGATACTCACGTAAAGAATGAGCATAACCTGGCTGCTTACCAGCCCACAAGAAGAAAGTGAAGGCTGCTTCCCAATCATTCCTCACCCTGGAAAGAACTTCCCTGACCAATTCATGTGACACCTTAACCTCGCACTGCTCAATCTTGTCCCTCATTTCCACACGATTTTTACTCGAATCATGCAACATTTTAACAATGGCCTGCACATCTATAAGAAGGGCGGCATCAATCAGCTTCACCTGCCCCTCGCCACCATCATGAAATCCATCATCACAATCACTGCGGGAACCATCATCACTTTCATTAGCATCATCATCGTAATCTCTCTGGACGGAACATTCTCCTGGATTCACGGTGGTCGTTGCGGGAACTGGTGTGTCGACACTTGAACTGGAAGAAGAGGATATACCGTTTTCAACATCATCATCACCATTGCTCTCACTGAGACTTCTCTCTGGAATATCTGGAGCAGTTCCTCCAACTGGGGTTTCGACACTCGAACCAGAGAATGACGATAAAGCAGATGCAAACTGAGAAACCAATCGACTCCCCGAAGCGGCGTCCTCGGCGGTCCGATGGGAGACATGAACTGGTGTCGCGTGAGACAAATGGCCAGGCGTACGGGCCGCAACAACAGAAAGCGCCCTTCGAAACAAACTAGCAGCTCTGATTCCTCGCATGGTTCAGTCGCACATCAAGCGAGTACTAGCAAGATACATACTAGCAGGAGCAGAGCACGAATACGTGGACGTAAAGATGGAGCGGAAGGTGTTCGATAAAATGACGCAGTGAAGAAAACAAAGGCGGCCTGCTGAATTAACAAAGAGAAGGAAAAAACAAGCAATAAGCGAAGGAAAGAAAAGAATACCCCGACATCTCGTTGGGAGAATAGGAAAGAGCATAATCGCTGTTGAAGTTATAGTTAAATAAATCCCGCCATTTTGATTTTCCCATTTTCATGCTCTCAACAGATGGCTTTGATTTTGTATTTCCAAAGTTATGGCTCTATTTGAGTGGCTAACTGGCTGCTATATTTGTCACTAATACAAACGTGAAATGTGTGACTATAAAAGTGTATTTTGCAAAAAAAAAAACGCTGAACCGATGGGTGCAAGTGCTTCCACTGAAACAAAAGAACCAAACGACCGATACAGATAACCAGATGAGAATTGAATTGAATCAAAATTCGGATAAATGGTAATACCAAATCACGATGTTCTACAACCTAGTTACAGAATGAAGATTCAACGAAAAAACAAATGGAGCTCTGCGTCTAATGAATTATGCCACAGGCACAAGCCAAGCAATAATCAAAACGTAGGACTTCTCTCTCTCTTCTTTTCCCCGTATCAACACCCATTATTCCCAAAAACATTACAGGCGCAAACAAAAGGGTCTCATCTCCTCCATTCCCCAGCTGCTGCTTGAGAAAACTTTGCCGGTGCACTCCCCTCAGATCACTAAACCCGCCCACACAATCCTCTACCCGAATTCAAAGCCTATTTATGAATCAAAATCACAATGCTGAAACGGCCTCAATGGCGCTACCTAATGGCCATGCCGCTTCAACGTACGCATCTCGGTATTTAACCTGCTTCACCAGCGTGATGTCCTGCCAGGGACTTAGACCTACATAAGAGTTAAGTGCGTGGGTGAGCAATACATCACAATGAAGGGGGAGAGTTTATCATAACATGATCATCCAACAAAGGGAGAGAGAAACCAAAAGCGAAAGTTTCGGGGGCTTACCAAATCCATCAACGAGCAATGTGTACTGGTAGACAAGATCCATGCAGAGATACGGCAGGTTACCCTCTTCGACACCAGAGTAAGTAGCTTTTGCAGCATCGAGCTTCGATTCACATGCCCTTTTAGCTGCTTCCTCAAAATCCGATGGACGAACTTTGGCAACAGGTATTTTGGGATTAATGAAACCTGCCTGTAAAATTTAATTTTTGTGCAGCGCATTACAGTCAGATGCAAGGTGAAGAAAGATTATATAATCTCCCTCTGATTCCTATAGCAGCGATAATTAACAGGGAGCAAGGAGTATATATATACCTCAGCAGCCCTGTCAAAGAAAAATGAAGCAACAAATAGGTTCTTTTGGCCATCTCCACCCCCACCATTCCATATTCCACCGAAGGTGCATTTCATGTGCACGCATGTAGTCTCGTTAATTTTCAGCGCCCTAGTAGCTACCCTTCTACACTCTTCCAAGTTAGAACCGCTAGGAGATGCAGATGCCTTGAAGTTCTCTCCTCCATAAGAGTATGAACCTTTCGAGGATAAGCAGATTAAAACTTGGTAAGCACTAGGAAAATCATTTTCACATGAATTAAGTCTCTATCATAGAAAAACAAGAAGAATTGAACTCTTGATTCCCACACCTTTCATCATCCCAATCACTGATCATTGGAAGGCACAAATATTTTCTATTAAGGAAACTTATTTTAATTACAGTATCTTGGTAGGACATGAAATCTAAGGAATGAATTTTTCCAATGACAAAGCAATTAACCGTACCATCATAACCACCCAAAACGCATGGATTGGATGAGCCATCAGACACCTTCAAAATCTCAGCTCTAGCTGCCAATAGTCCATAGTGCAAATAGCTGCATGTGTCATATGCAAGAAAAATCTTGCTATCAGAAATGGATGTTTCTAATGCCTCGGAAGAAGAGTAGATGGAAGACATTATGCTAGATCTTAAGCTTGAGGAAGAGGACCTGTGAACATAAAGGTAATATGTTGTTCCCTTCAGAAGCATTTTGTGTACATAGGTATCCTCTCCATCTGTCACCCTTGGAGCTTTTGCTGCATCTGCCTCAGAAATGGCATATGCCATTTGAACAGATCCACCACCAAGATCAACTACCCCGACTGTACTGGCATAAGACCTCCCCAACTTTCCCGCGAGATAATTAATTGTGACCTGGGAGGGGAAAAACAATTGAAGAAATGTTATGACTACCCGAGTACACACTGTTTGTATCAATGTCTGTATCAATTAAATGCAGAGCGCATAATTGACTTACAACAATTTTACTTGCATGTATTCCTAACTTTCTTTGAACAAACTATGTGAGGTAGTATCCAAATTTCAATATCGCTCAAGTCGAAGATTCTTCAGCAAATGACGACCAATGAACGCTGAAGAAAACAAGACAAGCAAGAAACAATTGTTGCTTGAACACTACTGCCTGACCCCTTCAATGCAAATAGCAAGTCGTAGTTGTTTAGCCAACATGGAGCTCTTCAAAATCTAACATTGGCAATTACTTTGAAATTTGAACCACTGATAGGCAGATCAGGTTCAAACTAAGTCAACTACTCCTCGCCACAAAGAATGAAACTTCACTTATATGGTTTAGTACTGGATAAGCCTTGTGGCTTATTAGTCATTGTACACTGAAATCCAGGACAGAGATCTCTAGTTGGATGTTAGTATCAGAGAGACATACAAGACAGAACAACATACCCACTGATAAGAACCTTCTTGAGAACCGTCCAAGACAGTGACCGAATTTGCATCAGATTTCAAGGTGCTCCGATCTTTCAGAAGATCCCTAACCTTAAAGCACAAGCCAGAATGAGTTAGTAATGATATTGCAGCCCAATACAGTAAAAACAGTGACTTAGAATATTGTAAAGTGGACGACTTCATTACCGCTTGCAAAATTCGGTCAGATGCATCACCCTCCAATGCCCTCAAGCCTGCAGTCGCCTACAGTGAAGCGATTTCAGCGTCCAACATTTCACATTGCCATTTCCCTCACATTCATCGACGAAGATACTATACAAAACCAGAAAACAACGAGAGATTACTCACCCCGACTCTAACTGGGGTCTTGGATCGCAGTTCCCTGGGCACAGCAGCTTCTGCCTTATCGAGTAGAGAGGTGAGAGACTCCGCTGCCGCTCGTGGGTCCTTGGCATAGTAGCTCAAACCAGGCTTAAGCTAAAATAAGACAAAACAGACAAATGCTAGCCATCACAATTCAGTAATTCACAAAGCAAAGTCCAAAAGGGAGAACTAGAATCGAATTCGAATTGGGAATTCTATAAGCCAATTGCAGAGAAAGATCGAGAGAAATGTACCTGAAGGAAAAGCTCTAGCTCTCCGCCAATTGGAATGAGATCCATATTGGGATCGAAACAGAAGACATGAACTCGACTTCCAGAACTACCCGCATCAAAGATAACAGCGTAGTTCCTAGAGTCCTTCAAATTGGGGGACAGCTTCCGGTTGGTGATCTCGTACTCTTCCCGGCCGGGCATCACGAACAAGACGAATCCGATCAAGAGCATCGGGATGGAGATCACCAAGAGAACGCTTCGGTACCTCTGGATCTTGTCGGAGAAATTCTCGTGACGGAGGGCGTTGCGCTTGCTCATCTTGTCGGAGGAGGCGGGATGGTCGGAATGCGTCGGGGAAGTGGCTCCGGTCTCCAGTAGCTCGGCGGAGGAAGGCGAGCGGTAGCGGATCTGACCGTTACTGCTAGTGGCAGTGGCAGCGGCGGCGGCGGCGGCGGCTGGTGCCTTCAAGGACTGCGCTGGTTCCTGAGACGGATCCAGCTCTCCTCCTTCGTGTTGAACCCCGTCGCTTTATGAAAGACGAAGATTGGGAAGGACGGAAAGGGCAACGGATTACTCGCGGGGGCGGTCGCAATCACGATCTAACAATGTGCGATCTGCTGAGCTTGCGGAGGTTTACTCGAAAGAGTGAAATGTCGTCGTCCTCGGCTCGTTTTACTTTCTCGGAAACGGAGTGCTTTCCCGGGAAACAAACAGAAAGTGAGGAGCGTGAACCAGAAATAAGAGGGGATAGAGGGAAGAACGGAGAATTGTTCTCTAGTGTCGTCGGTTTCTTGGCGTTTATCGGATGGGTTTTTGTTTTTTATTTGGAATTTTTTGGGCTTTAACTACCGACGAGTAAGTAACCACAGTTTACTGTGATCGTCCGGCTAACTATTTTTTTAGTAGAGAAGGGACTGCTTGTAGTTGTATCATGTATGGTGTTTACTGTTTATTCCCCTGGAAATGAAACGCCGTCGTCGATTTGGTGTAATTATCGGATTACACTACACCTGTTCTCAGTCATGGACTCATGTGGCATTGGGAATTGGGCTGGTTATGCCAAGTGGACCCATATTTTCGGCCCAAAAATCTTGGCATTTGGATAAAGGCTTTGTCCCGCCCAAATAGGTTTGAACAAAAGAACCCGCAAACCGACCTACCCTTCCAACCCCACCCAAGCCATTCGTGTTTGTTGCTAAAATTAAGATTTAAAGTTGGGTGAGGGCTTTATTTTGTACAACCTGTCTTGATTTGATTGGGTGTGAATTTTGGGTTGCACAACATGTAGAATCCGATCCAACCCGTGTTCCAAATATTGTAATAAATGTTCATATCCAAAATATATTTGTAAAAAATTTAAGATCTTTTATCATATTTTTCTATTATGGTTTCCCTTGCGTAATATATTATTCTACTTAAAATTTAGATGTATATTTAATATAGGCTGCAATTCACATAATTATTTTAGTTTAGAAAAGTAAATATTATGAATGCGTTTACTTATAATCATTTTAGTTTATTTCTAAAAATATTTGTGGGAAACACTAGACTTATTTTAAAGCAAATTGTATTTCATCAAAACGCAAATACCATTTATGCATTTGATATTTTTTGTTCGATTTTTTTTAATTAATTAGTTACACAATATTTTGTGGTGTAGAATATTATATTTTATGTGTGGGTTGGGTTTTTAATTAACAGTATATCCAACCCGAATCAATCCAACTATAAACAAACCGTAGGGCTCTAAATTTATTGGGTGGCTTTGGATTTGGTATTTTGAAAACTGTAGTGCATGGGTCAGGTGATTAAAATGACCAAACCTGAACCACCCAACCCATGTACACCCGCACACCCAAGTGCTTACCAACCTTCAACTCTGCATAGGGATGTCAGCAAGTCCTGTCGGGGGCGGATAATGCATATATGTGTTACCCTACCCAAGGTAATTCGGTTTTTACCCATACCCATACCTATACCCACATAAGAATCGGGTAGAAAATCAAAATCATGTCCATACCCTTCGGGGTTCAGGCATCAACAGTTATCCATGGGTAATATTTATCTATATAACTCCAACCAATACGTTAACATTTACACGTTTACTCAATTACATAAGTGAAAATGTACGACAATAATTCACTAGAAGGAAGAAAATTAATTTGAAACAACACAATTTCATGAGAATATTATATCTGTATGCTAAATATAAAATATAGTTAGAAAAATTATGATCATTTTTAGACAAAATACATATGCATGTGTAGGTGTATAATCAGGTAGGTTCGGGTGTAGTGAGAAAATCATGCTCATCCATTACCCGCATTATTCGGGTTCGGATTTTAGTCGTACCCACTGAAATCCTTAGGGTTTGGGTTTTACCCTACCCAATTAGGACAGATTCGGACAGATATCCACAGTTGTGAATATTTTTTCCATCCGTAACTCTACATTACAAATGGATAAGGTGAATTAGGGCTTGTTAGTTGGTTCGGTTTGGTGATAATCATAATTGTTTATTCGATTATCAGTTAATTGTTAATTCATTTGTGTTTATTGTTAACTATGTCGCATATATTAATCGATTAACCATACCCATATAATCGGTTGTCGATTATTTTATCGGTTAACCAACTAACCGGTGAACAAGTGATTCAGCAAAATTAGAGCAAAATAAACTATCTAGCTGGCACCTGCCCTGTTTATGTTTCTATTAAGCCTGAGATAAAATAAATAGTGTTGCATCTAGAGTTGAATATTGAGACCATAGTTTTAGTAAGTCGGATATGTAGGTCAAATGAGCTCTTGGAATCGTTTCCATTCATCGTACAAAGATTCAGAAGTACGTTGTTGGAAGTTAGCGATTTTGATCTCTCAATTCTAAAGTAGTACCTTAATCACAAAAATGAAACATATATCACCCCTATCAAAAATTCTTCAATTCTCCGTGGAGGGAAGAACTCTTCTATACAAGATTGAACTAGAGCCTCTTATGTTCGAAAAGTACAAGTGATTGGAAATTTAGCCAACTATTTGCTTTTTGCGTAGATGGAGAAAGGAAAGAGGCATAGCCTTATTGCGCCTGGCTTATCAAACTAGATGTTGTGCAAAATCATATATTTACAAAAATGCTTTGATGTGTTCTACATGATTTTTGTATCTCGTCCCTGAAAGCGCCCAACATTCTGGACCATGTGGATTAAAAAAGTCCTCAAATCAAAATTTGGGACATGTAACATCGGTAAGACGATGCTGGTAGCAATATTCGCAACTTGAGGCCTTGTATACTCGTAGAGAGTTCGTTGAGCCATGTCTCTAGATGTTATAGGTACAAAAGGGAGCTTGTTGCTTTCCTCTTATGAACACTCTTAGAAGCTCTTTTCTTAGATGGTGGTGGTAATTTGGGTTTCGAAGAATCGGAAGTACCACTTCGATAAACACAACCCTTGCCAAGAATTTTGAGCTTAAGTTTGTTCATTTTTTCCTCTGGTTCGTGCTGGGCTCATACAAAGAAGTTGGGTTCAGGAACTTTACATGACAGTCTTTGCCAAATTCATATACAAGCTTTCCTCAACTTCACCAATGGCATCAAGATGGTTGGAATACCTCAAGAGACCATCCGACCAAGATTATACTCATTCTCCTTTAATGGGATATCTATGAAGTGGTTTGTCAATCAACCACCACTCTCCATTGCCTCTTGGAAGGAGATCTATGTGAATTTCATGAACTGTTATTTTTCTCCCTCAAAAGCATCTCAACTTTGAGGGGGAATCTTCAACTTTCAACAAGGTGTCATGACTGTTTCTCTGTGGATCGGAAAATTGGAGGATTGCACAAAGTAAGAATACGAAAGCAAGAAAGAAAACGACGCATGAATTTACGTGGTTCACTAACACAATGTGTGTTAGCTAGTCCACGGACAGGAGAGAGCCATTTTCACCCGCATGACATCCATTCGTAGCGCCAGATAGTCCAATTCAAGTCACATCAACACAAGGAGATGAAGAGCCTTCATATAAGCGTGGGAAAGATACAAGTATCACTCTCAAATGTTCTAATCACAGTTTCGAGATTAGCTTCAAATGGGTTTTTTTCTATAATGGACTGAGGAGTGAATGTCGAGAACTCATTGATGCACTTTTCGAGGATGTGGCTTTAAGTGAGCGAGATTGGGAAGATGGAAGAAGAATCAAGACTTCTAGCAAGGAGATGTGCTCACCATGGTTCATATTATGACCTTATTGAAGTAGATTTGAGTCTTTAGGTGGTCAGATTGAGGAGTTGACAAGTCAATTCAACGGGAATGCAGTGAAGTCCCAACTAAGTGCTATTCAGAAAGTTTATATAGTTGGAACTCTTAGTACTGAAACAACCAAGTTCTTACTTCTTACAACAAGCGGTTGAATACCCTTTTTATTCGATCAAGAAATAACAGGGCTGGTAGGTTGAAAGATATCATGGGTCAATTTTGTCCACTTGTAACAAGAGGTTCGATCATGTTGACCTCTTTATTTACAAAACCCATCAACATCTTCAAGCACTCGAAAGAAAGTTCAAGTACTTCAACATGCTTCTTTTGGCACAATGGATTCTAACATTAACCGAATTATTCAAGTATTGATGTTAAATGTAAATATTGCATCATCAAGTGATGTTATTCTATATCCATAGGAAGAGTCTCATGTTATCACTCTCTGAAGTCGAAAGGAAGTTCAAGCACCCATGAAGGCAATCGACAAACAAATTCCTCCTAGCAAGAAGTCAATGAGCGAATTGACTAAGGCATTTGAGAAGTTGGAAGGAGAACCTAAATTGAAGGGTGAAGCCCCTGTGTTGGAAGAGAGGCCAAGAGGGGATGACAATGTCCAAGAAAACCCAAAATTTACCGAAGATAATTCTAAATTTCCTTATCCGTACTTGCTCAAGAAAGGTGAATATGATGAGAAGCATGCCAAGTTCATTAACATACTAGGCAACTATAGTGCACAAGTCCCTATTCCATTCCTGGACAAGGTAACCAAGGTGCCTAAGTACACTAGGTGTACCAATGAACTTGCTGCATTATCACCATGAATGTAGATAGAGCATTAGACGATTTATGAGCAAGCGTAAATATGAGTTCTTTCAAATTGTTCAATAAACTTAATTTGGGTGAACTTCAGCCTACTACCATGACTATTCAGTTATCCGATCATTATGTAATTCATCATAAAGGCATAGTTTATGATCTCCTATTAAGAGTGAGAATTTTCTCCTTTTTGGTTGACTTTGCGGTACTAGTCATTAAAGAGGGTGAAAATGCACCACTTATACAAGAGAGACCATTTCTTGTCACAGCCAAAGCCACAACTGATGTGCCCAGGAGAAGGTTGATATGGATGTTTGGTGATAAGAAACATGTTAGACTGACTCTCATGGAGTCTTTATAAATGGGGAAGTCTCTTTAAATGGGGAAGTGTCAGCTCCAACAGGTAGCCATAAATGGAGAGAGGCGGCAATTTTGGGAAGATCGGCAAAACATGCAATTTTGGGGAAATTTTTGGCGATTCCCGTAAAAAGGGGGACTGAGCGTGCTGCTGGGAGGATAACTGCCAGCCCGGGCAGTGCCCGCACGCGAGCGGGAAAGCTGCCCGGGCTGGCGGTTGTTCTGCCCAACAGCTCTTTTTTAATTTAGCGGTTTAAGTTTTAATTATGAGATTTTTAGGGAAGTTTTGATTACGAAATTGATTAGGGGTTTGATTAGGATAATCGAGGGTCAATTAATTATGTTTAATTATGAGATTTATTAGGGGTTTAATTAGGGTAACCTACGGTCAATTAATTATGGGATTGATTAGGGTTTAATTATGGAATTTATTAAGAGTTTAATTAGGGTAACCTAGTGTTAATTAATTATGAGATTGATTGTGTATAAACCCAAATTAGATCAATCATTTTTTATAAAAAAAAAATTCAATCTCGAAATTTAAACAAATTCTATAAAAAATTTGTATTTAAAAATGATGACGAACTATACAAAAATTAACATGAAAAAATTATATTAATAGGATCATAAATACATTTTTTAAGTAAAGAAAAACTAGAAATAAGTGAGGTCTCCAAATTTGGAGATGGTATCATTGGAGCAAAAATGATGAAAATGAGGATAATCCCCAAATTTGGAGATGAAGGTCCCCAAATTTGGGGCCTAGCATTAATGTTGGTCTTATCCACATGCCTACCAAGGACGATGATGAGTATGCATGTCGCTCACCGAACTTCCCTAAGATAGAGTTGAATGATGACAAATTCTATATGGTTGCTCACATGGATAACAAAGACTTGGAGAAGCCTTCTCCTCGCCTAGGTGTTAACCATGTTAACTCTACCATTGCGTCTTGTCTTCCACACGAGAAAAGCAAGAAAAATAAGTTGGAAAGATGGAAGGAAAAGTTTCATCTGAGTGGAGAAGAGTTTGGAAGGTGTTTTGCACTTCTCGAGAAAGATGTCATTGGAGTCTCTCCATCGACTTGATTTACACTAAGACAACATCACCGAAATGGGATACTTGATGTTGACACTTGTGATGGATGACTTCACTGAATCCTTGGTCATCACCTTGGTTTGTACTTCAAAAGTGAGATCGACGATGTGACCAAGAAGTTAGAGAGATCTTCTCTCTTCACTTAGCCGTCCACTTCAATGAAGTCGGGTGAAATGACCCTATGCGCTTGTTGAGAGGCAACCGAACTCTTTGGGTTGATTTTCTTACTCTTTTCCTTTCATTTTCTTCCAGTGTGTGGAAGTGAATTTGCATCGAAATGTGTTTGGGACAAGAAGTGTGTGTTAGAATGCTTGAAATTGAGATGTGGATGTGTGGTATGTGAAATTTGGGGTATAGGTTTGAATGTGTTTGAAAAATTGGCTAAGGTATGAACAGGGATCACAATCACGGGCCGGAGATAAAGATCACGAACGTGATCTCTTAAGTAAACTGTCGTGTTCTCAGTTGTTCCTGATCGTGAACCTGTTATTCAGGCTGTGATCTTGACTGAAATTTTTGGTCAATGCGGGCTCCTCGCTCCTCTCAACATCTTTCAAATTTTAACACCTCTCATTTGTCCTATTCCTAAAAACCCCAAATCAACATTTTCTTCTTCTTCTTCTTCTCCATTCTACCCAACCCTCACTCACCACCATCCATCTACGGCCAGAGACTATTTCCACGACCATACGAAATCTTTAATACCTATGCTCGCCCCCTTTCTTCTGTTTTCTGGTTGATTATGTACCTCATTCTTCATTTTCTTGCAAACTCGAGTTTTAGGGTACATTTGGATTTGTGGATTCTTTTAACCAAACTAGGGGAGGAGTTCTGTTTCTTCGATGATTTGATGATTGTGAACTCTGTTAAATGCTTATAATGCAAATTGGTTGTGGCTTGGTGGAACAAATTGTTGAAATTGCACTTGGACAAAGTATGTCCACTAAATGTACGATGAAATTACTTGGAGCCTATGGCCCTCTCTTAATGCTTAATTGGGTGTGTTAATGTGTGGTTTGAATGTGTTTAGGGCTATCAATGCGTGGAAACACCACTTGAACTGTAGCAAAATTTGGAAGTAGTCAGTAGATTCGATGATCCATGAAATATGACTTTGAAGTAACCCTATGCTGCACCATTAAATCAAGATATGCTTAGTTAGGTTTAGTATGTTACTTGAACCGTCGAGTTTTTACTTTTATAACTTGTCACCAAAATGGCAAGCAGTAGTGGCGGGTGGCTAGAGCAAATGGCAAGAAGTGGCAATGATGAAACACCCACCCGCATAATCGTCATCCCCAAACGCTTGAATGTTAACGAAAAACAGAGCCCGTAGTGGGGAATGTTGCAGCATATAGAGACAACGGGAACAGGCTGGATTCGATTCCCCGCCACAAGAAAGATAAAAATCCTTCAACTTTAGGATTGAAATAAAACAATCATGAAGTGGGTCACATCTGAGTTAACATAGGACCCTTGGATCGTTGGAATCAGAATCAAACCAAGTCTTATAACAAAGGGTGAAGACAGATGCCACTGCTACTAACATTACAAAGAAGAAGAATTGACCTGTAATCAAGAGGAGACATCCAAGTCGTTCTTAAATTATTATACTTTAAACCCCCACCCTGCTACCTACCTACCAGCCAAAGTCTGGGCATTCTGTTTCTGGGTTTTCTCAGGCCGTCTTCTTCTTGGGAGCTGCCGGTGGAGGGAACACCAGTCGGAACATCCAAGCAGCCAATATTGCTCCCACAAAGGGGCTGATCCAGTATACATAGAAGTGTTCCCATGTGTTGTGCCACTTGTTCACATATGCCCATCCGAATGCCTGCACCGACCAATGTACAAATTAGCCATGCATACATAATAAGTACTACAGCATCCATTTTGACAGCAGAACTGGGGAGCTGCATGGTAGATATCGTTCGTTGCAGCGAATATCATGCATAGAATCAGCAATCCATGCTAATTCCCACAAGCAACAGAAAATCATGAGCAGTTTAAAGTGCGAGAATAACGACAGGAAACCCTCGCCCAAGGTCTCATTTTTCACCCTAGCACGTTTGGGCATGATGGACCATGACAATTACACCCAAAGATGGCATGAGTTTCTAACTTGCTTTCTTGAGTCCATCTCAAATATTTTAACCTTAACCCTTTGCACAGTTACAAAAGAAGCTCCTTTCGAATGTGCTGTGGCCCCTCGTTTAAAAAAGCAACATCCCATCAAGAATTATGCTTCAAAAAATCATATTCTGCAGATCGACAAAGTATATTCTTTGTCTAATCAAATTAGTAAGAGCAGCATACAAGGAAATGGAATAGATCAGCGCCCAAGAAATGTCAAGCCTTCCATGACAAACATGACGAAGAAGAAACAATCAAGTGCAAAGTCAGGAAATTGGAAATTGCATTTTAAACATCTACAAGAAGCTACAAGCCTCAACCAGTCTACACTTTGGCATTGAATCTTGGACAGAGAAGTCCTCTGTATTGAATTGAAAATATGTTAGCATCTCATTGTAGCTTTCTTTTAAGTGTTGTCTGTGTTATGCAACTCCCAACAACAATGTTACTACAAATGATACTATTTGTGCCTGTAAAATGAATAGAAGTTTAAGCGTTTTGGGTCAAGAAGATTCGATATCCCACAAAGTACAGCATCCTTGAAGGACCTCCAAAATACTACCACATCACAACATCCATTTAAGGAGTACGAAACTTTTATAAAACAAAAACAAGATGGAAAGATCTAAGAAGGATACTCACATTGGCAGGATTCATGGAGGGGCCAGTGTAACCAGACCCAGCAACAACCATTGAGACAGTCGTAACAGCAAGCAACCACGCTTGCGCTAGCATGTTCCGAGGACCCTTGATGATTATCACAAGAACAGCAAAGCTAATTAGAAAGGTCAAGACACCCTCGGCAATGGCGCCAGTGTGCACATCGACTTTCAAGCTTGGCCCTCCTAGCATGTGTTTGTATTGATATGGCATCACCTCCATTACTGCTAACACACCTGCCACAGCACCTGCTGCCTGAAAACAGAACACGCAAGCTTTAAAGCGCGATTTTGACTGCATTGCTTTTACCTACTGCGATCCTTTTGCAGAGAACAACTCATTATATACTACAGGCTTATAAATTCTCATCAGCCCTTGACATAGGGCTCATTTCACATTCATCAACAGAAAACAACTATCAATCACAGAATGTTTTGTTCTTCTCACAGAAAGTTGCCATATATAGCCAACAAAGGGACTGAAACAAAACCGAAATCAAGAATACAAAGTTTGGAAGGCATCCAAGATTGAATCCGAAAGGTCCCATCTTTTCACACAGAATTGAAAAATAAAATTACCATGGAAGCAGATTAAGATTGAGAAAACCAATTGGCAGCCCCAAAAATAAAAAGCAAGAGAATTTCACCTGAGCAGGGAATCTGAGAGCGAGGGAGAAAAGAGAGTCGCCACCTACACCAGCGGCGTAGAAAGAGACGTTACCAGTGGGATTGAAACTGGCACCACCCAAGAATTCGGCGATGAAAGCAAACACGAAGACGAAGAAACAAATCAGGAGAGTGGTGATGAAAATTGAGGCCCAAAATATCTTCTCAACGCCTAGCGCGAGGGCTATCTGGCTCGTGAACAACCCGAACATCGACGATACGAACATCCATGAGAATGTCAGCACGACATCTCCGATCGCGGACTTGACTGCACCCATCGCCGCCGGTTCTACGCCGTGAATGGCTTTCTGGGTTGCGACGTTTACGGCAGGACGGAGAGGGAGGAGGAGGAAGAAGAAGGAAGAGAGTAGATTTGGTTATATGGTGGAAATCCCGGGGAGAGTTTGAGATGATTTACCTAACCAGACTGAGTTGAATTTCTTTTTCGAGTAAACAATAATATTGTGGGAGAGATAAAAAGAAATTCCTGGAAATGGCGGGGGTTAATTTGCGAGGATTATTTCATTAGGGTAGGGTGGTTAGGCAGTAGATCTTCAGCTCTGTTTTTGTGTGTTTGTGTCCGCCATATGTTAGGACTCTTCTTTTTTTCTTCGCCATCATATTTTCTTAAGCTAAAATACACTTTGTAGAGTCGTAATTTTTATTTTTGTTATAATTTTAATTTATCTCAAATACAGTCTGATTTTTGTTGGATAAGCCATCCCATTACACACAACCACGATGATATTGATTTATGCTTATGTGACGATTTTGGTTTTTAACAGACTCATGTCTCAGGGGGATTGACAAATAGAGATAATTTTGTCACTTGTCAACATAACTCATTAGTCCAATCAACATTATTAACAGTGTTGTGACGGAATTTTTATATTTTTACGATAAGTATTTTGAAGCCAACTATATTTATGATTTTTAAAAAATTTAATTATTACCCAAATTATGACTATACAAGTAGATTTTTCTTTTATTTCCTTGATTATTTTCCTTTACACATAGTTTCCGGTCTTGTTCGCCATTAAATCAAAATCTCATGGAATTGGAATACAATCATACAATGATTTGAAGAAATACTGAAGACAATAATGGAATAAAAACGTTTCTTATTTGATTCAGGCGGATCCAATTTTAATCAAATTGTCTATTCCATTTTATTATAATATATATGAGTTTCGAGTAAATTACAAGTAATGGATTTTTTTTTAACTAAGATAAGCATACACAGCATGCACTATCAAGTATCAACACAATAACAAAATTGAAAATAATCACATGCAATAGTGCGTATACAAATCAGATTATCTATAAAAGAACATATTTTGCTACAAGAGCAACTCAAGAGCAAAATAACACGAGCAAAATAAGCAAAACCTATAGAAAGATAGATTTTATTCAGAAAGAACATATATGATTTTCGATTGAAAAAACATATTTTGCTAGCTCAAGAGCAAAATGACCCGAGCAAAATAAGCAAAACCTATAAAAAGATAAATTTTATTCAGAAGAACATATGAGAAGCCGTAAAATCAAACGAATATAATTGGATGTAGGGACAGAGTTAGAATTTAGAGGTCTGAGACAGGAAATAATTAACTAAAAATATTGCAATTTATAGTTTTATTAGTCAAATACTTGGTCGGGGCAGCTATTTGTCAAATAACAAGTTTGAGACCAAATAACAAGTTCTATATTATATTGTATTTGTAAGATAATTGACCCCAAAAAACAAATTTGTCAAATACCCAATCCAAACGACCCCTATAATTATTTTAAAAGTACTTGATGCTCTATCATACTATAGTTTTTACTATTTTACTTCAATGTAAATAACTAAACTATCACCAAGAAAATCAACGTTCATTTTAAATTTCTAATTTGTCCAATGTCAACTGTTTGATTAATCTAAAGATATAAGTTATGAAACTAATCTAAATATATAAGTTATGAAAAAGGAATGTAAAAATAAATTGGAATTTCTTTATCTTTCCTACATTACCTTTCATAAAATCACTTTTATTACTACAACTTTCAAATGCCGAGAATTAAAACCTGAATTCTCCATTGAGTCTAGTTTCTACATTAAAACACTTAAAAAAAAATGGAACAAGTTTAGTGACGGAGTCAGAAAATTGGTTGGAGTTCTTTCTTTAATACCTTAAAAAATCAATCATATAAAAGTTAACTCTAACGAAATAAAAAGTAAAAACATAATACTCAATATTCGTGTAGTTACTGAAGAATGGTTGGGTAAAAACTGCTTACAACGAATTGCGACGAAATTTCATATTCTGAAACCAATTTAAAACAAATTTCTTGTCTGAATTAGCAAATAAATAACGTTCAATATGTGTTACCAATTCTCTTAAAAAAATATCTTACCAACGTATCGTTCAATCACTCATTCGGTTTCGATGATCGTTCTTGATATATTTCATGGACGGCTCACTTGTTGGTTTTCTTATGAGAGTCATATATGTTAGTTTCTGTATATTATTACATGTTACTTAAGGAATTTGAATGTGATACCTTCGGGTTGAAGACTAGCGATAGAACCGCTAGAGCAAATCATTGTTCGTCTCACACGTTACACTTGTTGTAGCAACTAAACATAATAAGTGTAAACTTGAGAAGCAAATGGACAAATGAATACAATTTGTTTGACCAATTTTTCTAATGGTAGATAAAAAAAAATATGAATTCAACTTATAACCAAGAAATTTTAAAAGATGTATTCTTAGAGTGTTTTAATTATAGGGTAATGTCTATTTTTTATCCAAATCTTTTTCAAATTCTTTTATATTATCCAAACCTATCGAAATACTAAGAATTAGCCAAATATTAACTTCCAGTTAGCAATTTTTGTTAGTAATATTGACTTGGCAACATGATAATGACTTGGAAGAGACACATGATGGTCAAGATTACAAAAAATTTAATATTTTAATTAAGAAAAGAGTTACAAAATTATTAACGATAACATAAAAATGGTTAATATTTGGATAAATTATGAAAGATTTGGATAATTAATAGAATTTTAATAGGTTTGGATAATATAAAAGAATATAAAAAAAAATTTGGATAAAAAATAGACATTATCCTTAATTATATGATGGATAGTTACTACTTATGTATAAAATTACAAGATTTGTTCAGTAGAGACGGAGAGATAATTGGTCTTTTTTTATATGATATAATTGGTTGTTGATTGAACACTAACAAGTAACAAGGTTGGTTTCAAATCCTCATTTATCTAACCTACTGGAATTTTGATCATTATTATCCAAAACTCGAAACTAATAGTTAATCTAAAAAAGGTTAAAACCTAGCTAGTGCGATCTGTGAATTCTTAAATTTCTGCCGGATTCCTTTTTCTTATCAAAAGCTCCCAAATCCTTTCAAACTTTGACAGTGCTTTTTTGTTGTATGGAAGATGACACAGACAGATCTGAAGTTCAATTATTCAGACTAAAGTGTATAGTGTATACCGTATACATACGTCACCCGATCTGGGAGGGCGTGTAGCTCAGTCCGGGCCTCGTACGTCAGCAACTTTGAATTATTGTTTATTTATTTTGGAGTAATCAATGTTTTCATAACCATACCGAAAAGTTTGAGTGGTTAACGATTCAACCTATGGTGATAAGTCATCATAATTTGGAAAAAACGGTCGATCTATTCCACCAAGTGGTCTATTATTTGAGTAATTAGGTCTATCACTTTTGATAATGGGTCAACCTGATGACACACTTGTCTTCAAGTGGTCAACTTCTTCCACCAAGTGGTCGATCACTTTCCAAGAAAATGGTTGACCTCTTTCATCACGTGGTCTACCACTTGAGTCAACTGGTCTATGACTTTCGGAAATGGGTCGACCTGATGACACAATTACTTTTAAGTGGTCAACCTCTTTCACAACCACTTCCCAAAAAATGTTTTACCACTCTCGAGGCAACCGGTCTACTGCTTATGGCAATTGGTTTGACCATCTCTGCTTTCGGCGAATGGTCGACCAAATGACATAGATACCTTATACTTATATTAGGAAAATAATGCACTATAAGATATACCAATAATATACAATTATTTTTGTACTAATGCAACATCCTATCATTTGTGGGCAACCAAATCCCAATGCAGATTATATGCCAAGACAAAAAGAAACACCCTCTTTGAACTCTTCTGTAATAAAAATCCACAAAAGCGATGATATGAGATTTATGAACGTTGAAGATGACACAATTGTATAACAAATATACTCTAATTTTTTAGCATCTTCATAACAACAATAGCAACAAAGTTGATCCATCATAAGACAACTATAGGATAGAAACAAGAAAACTTAGAATTTGAAGAAAAGATGAAAGTCTCTATAAAGTAAGTCAAATATAAGAAATAAATATGCGGAACATTTTTCAAATCTACGGGAGAACAATCGCTCGAGAAACTTGTCATCTATGCTTGCAGTATTCGTACTAATTTTAAATCTCTTACTTAGCAAGCATATCTATTGTTATTGGACTCTGATTATATATGATGATATCACTAGAAGTGGACCGCTTGGGGGAAGAGGTAGACCACTTGATGGAAATGTTAGACCATTTTTTGTATAGTGGACGACCTTTTATAGAAAGAGGTTGACCGTTTGTTGAACATAGAATAATTGAAAATAGTATATCTGGTCGACTATTCCAACAATGAGGTCGACCATTTTGTCCAAATAGGTCGACCATATCAGTGAAGAGGTCGACCGTTTTATCCAAATAGGTCGACCGTATCAGTGAACAGGTCGACTGTTTTGTCCAAGTGACGGTGACTTGTCTTTAATTTTTATAGAACAATTAGTTAACTATTGATAGAATCGTTTATACTCTATAACATAAAAGAAATATATAATATATTAATTTAGAAGTAAAATTATCACTAACCATAAATGATTCAAATTGCACTTTTTGATAATTAAAAACTTATATTAATTGCATTACTGTTTCTTAAATTCCAATCTAACATTAATTTCATTTCTCTCTCCCTATCTCTCACTTTCCCTTCCCCCTATCTCTCACTCTCCTTTTTCAGCAGTCGTTTTGCCTTGCATCGGCGAAATTCCTCTAATAGATTCCCTCCGGCGGACTCATTCCGACCATCTAGCAAAAAAGTATCATTTCATTGAAAAACGTATCACTCTGAGAAAATTGCACAACCATTAGACTGATAACACTACCGCTGAACCGGTATCACTAAAATATACAACTCAACTAAAAAGAGTACCACTACCACTAGACTAATAATACTACCACTAGATTGATAACAATACCACTAGACCGATAACATTTCCACTAGACCGATACCACTATCATTAGACAAATAACACTACCACTACACTAAGTAAATAGCACTACTACTAGACTGATAACAATACCACTATACTAGAATGCAAAAGACCTAGATCTGGAAACCATTTCACGGATCTGAAAAACAAAACCGGGGCGGGGGGGGGGGGGGGGGGATGAGTAGTGCCCAGAGGGAGGTGTAGAAGGCAATGACGATGTTGGTGGTGGCAGGTGGCAAGGCGAGTGATGAAGTCTCATCTTGGAGCTCAAGAGATAAAAAGGGAACCGAAAACAAGGGTTTGGTTGGTTTCGTAGATCATGGTTAGCACTCTACTTTTGACCCTTGTATCTTGAGTTCAGGGCTTCCATGTGGTTTGCAACTCACCTTTCGTTCTAGTACACATTACAAGCTTTCCAGGAAGCCATCAATCCCCTCCATATTCCAACTTATGTGGATGAGGCAATTGAGGCGGAACCACCACCTGGTTCTCCTTTTGAAGATCATCCTGTGGCCATCAAGCCTCCCAAAGGGGACTTCCTCAATCATCGAGCACTCACCATCACTGCAGTTGAAGAAGCAAATCAGAGGCACAATATTTTTCACACTCGTTGCAAGGTAAACACCCATTTAGCCTCGATGATCATTGACGGGGGTAGCTGTGTGAATGTAGTTAGTGCTGAAGTAGTGAAGAAATGGGGATTGAAGACTGAAAAGCACTCGGAACCATACAATCTGAGATGGTTGAATGACTGCAGATAAGTCAAGGTAAATGCACGAGTTACGGTTCCATTTGAGATTGGCACTTACCGGGACAGTACCAAGTGCAATGTTGTCCCAATGCAAGCCACCCACCTTCTCCTAGGGCGTCCTTGGCAGTATGACTAGAAGGTGTTGCACAATGGATATACCAATTCATATGTCTTCAAACATGGAAGAAGAACACTGTAACTTTTGCCATTATCTCCATCGGAGGTGGTCGAAGATCAACGGGAGCTTGCCTGAAGCTTCACAGAGCTTGGCACTAGCTCAACGTCCTCCAAGAAGAGGCTTGAACAGACTTTGATGGCCCAAAGATACCTGCTGACGAGTTTGCAGGGGCATAGCCTCAAGGTTCGTTGCCGGCAAAAATTGCCCTATTCTGCCGTTCCCCTGAAGCAGACCGTATGGCGTGGAGTCCTGGAGCCGACTACGAAAGCCACAGAGGGTGTGGACACACCTCAAATCTACCCAAAAAGCTCAAACAAATGGCAAAAGGGAACTGCAGCGTCGACAGCCTTGATTCCAGAGTGCCCAATTTTGGAACCCCCGTCGGAGCGCAATCGACAGTCGTTGGAAAATGGAAAATTTTCAGTTCGGGAATCTTCCTATTTTGCAGTAATTTGCTGAGAAATTAGTGGGAATAGTATCTTATGACTTGTCTGAAGTACTTACCGCTCCAATAATCTCCATGAACCAACTAATTCAAGTCCAAAAGCGGATCGATTCAAAGGAGAGCAAATTCGACTTCTGGGATCTTGTTTGGGAAGCTACTTTGTTTCGTTCTCGTTGTAGGCGTGATCAAGCTTTGTGGGCAAAAATTTTCCAACAGGGAGGGCCTGATGAAGTCTCCTCTTGGAGCTCAAGTGATCAAAAGGGAACTGAACACAAGTGTTTGGTTGGTTTCGTAGATCATGGTCAGTACTCTACTTTTGACCCTTGTATCTTGAGTTCAGGGCTTCTATGTGGTTTGCAACTCACCTGCCGTTCTAGTACGCATTACATACTTTCCAGGAAGCCATCAAGCCCCTCTAGATTCCAACTAGAACTCCAGAATGAGCTGGAAGAAGGGAGTTACTCGAACACAAGGAGAAGAGGCCGAATTTGTACAAGTATGGAAATGGGAGATTCTGATGTTGAGACAACAACTTTGGGCGATTGGTTCTCTCTACTGGATGATGATTTGAGAAAGTTGGGAGTCATAAATGAAAATAGGAAACTTATATTCCCACGTGAATGCATTGGTTGAGCATAGCGGGAAGATTTCAACCATTTTACAAGAGCTCCAAATTGGTGTCAGAACACTGAAGCGTGCGGCTTAAGGCATTTGCTTGCCCGAGAAGAAACCTTATTTCCTTGTTTATTTTGGATTCTGTTATGATTGTTGTTTCCTTGTTTAATTAGGATAGGAATTCCTTCATATTTAGTAGCATCTTACGTCTATTTAAAAGCCTCAAATTGATATGTAATGGATAGATTGAGGCAGATTGAAAACTTGTTTTCGTTTTAATTGATGTTCTTTGTCTGAACATTGTTCGATTGTGTGTTTGGATCCAATCCAAGCTCGAGATCAAACTCATGCATCAACTGGTGAATCACGACTGGTTGTGGGAGTTCTACCCTAAGTCATTGACCTTCTTTCCCTTCGAGAAAGTTGTTCGATTGATCCGCCTTCGAGTTAGAATTGTCTTTTGAATACAAGGAGACCTTGATCCTTGTGGCTGCGTTTGATACTTTGAAGGTGATCCTTACTGGGATCATATCAGCGAGGGAGGTGAGGGGAGACGGTACATCAGCGGAGGGAGGGGAGAGGAGGAGGGAGACACATGAGGTGACATCAGCGTTGGTGGTGGCAAGTGGTAGGGAAAGGGAAGCCAGGGGGCAAAGGTTAGGAAGGAGGCGAGTGCGGTGGCGAAGGGGTGGACGACAGAGTATATGAGTGTGGGGATTTGGAGGAAAAGAAGAGGGAGAGGACAATTAGGGTTAGGGGAATATATGGAAAGAGATTAATTACATGGGTAACAATCAAATGTAGTAATAAATTTGGTCCAAAAATACCCCTAGCTCAATCTCATCAATCCATTTTAAAAGACAGTAGTAAGTTAGGATACCTAATGAACAAAAATATATATGAACTAATTATTGTGAATGTCACAATTATCAAATAGTACAAAATTTACTTTCAATTTTTTTAATAAACTATTGAAAATGCTCTAGATTATATATATAAATTGATGACATAAAAATAATGCCAAATAAAATCAATTCATTCGACCAACAAATCAGGTAAAAACTAATTGTCAATAAGAAACTCAAAAGAGTCTATTAACCCATCTCAGAACCCTCTCAAAGAACATATAATTTAGCCATCATGAGAAGGGTTATGACTTATGAGATGGGAAGAGGCTAGTACAAGCAATAAAAACGATATCAGAAAAATTGGTTTAATTAGTAGAATTAAGATTTTATAAATGGCTTCCCTTTATTAGAAGAAAATGTACTTAGAAACAAGGAAGATTCATATATCGATCATGCCGATCATATCGGTAGTATCACGTCGATTTTATGACCAGTACCTATTGAATCAGGTACAACCGGTGGCACGCCGGCCGGCGTCACAACAATGCCTCCATGAACCATGAGAGTTCCACTTTCCCCTATTTCCCCCCTTCCTCTTCCTCTTCCTCTAGAACAGAGGGGAAGGGTTTCATTGGCTGAAAATGTTTAGGGCCCCATAATATGAATATCCACATAGGTTACGGATAAAAATAATAAAATATCAACTCAAAGAAAAAAAAAAAACAAGAAAAAAAAACCGCTGAATGTACTCTCCGCTCGTAACCGTTGGATGGCACTGTTGAGCCGCTGGTTGTTAGATCCCTCGGGCCCAAAGCAATTAATTAACCCAATATTAATGGGTCAAAGAAAAAATGAGACGCACCGCGGCACCGGTGAAGAAAAACCAAAAAAGAGCCGTTGGGAGCTTTGTAGCAACGGCTACCTATTTCTTCGTCTCCCCTTTTTAAATGCGAATCACTTCAATTTCATCAGCACTTCCGATACAACATCTTCAGATTCTCCACTATCCAGCAACCTTTGAATCAAGCAAAGCAAACCCTCCCACTTTCCCATTCTGCTTCTTCTTCCCCTTTCCAAACCCACATCCCCGTTTCAAACAAGGTAAGTTTTTCTTCATTGATAGTTCTAGTTCTATTCTAGATCAGGAAACTCTCCTTTTCCGAATCTCTTAACTCTCAGATTCTCCGTGAAATATTGTGCTTTTTCAGGTCTCTGTTTTTTTCTCTCGCAAGATGAACGATCTAATGACCAAATCGTGGGCTAGCTACGTGGATCTGAAGAAAGAAGCCATGAAAGACATGGAACAGGGAGGTGCTGGCGACGTGGATCTCGAGATGGGCAATTCGACCAACACCATGGATGCAAACCTCGGGTTGTTTCTCCAGGAAGCAGAGGCTGTGAAGACAGAGATGGAATCCATCCGGGGAATCCTCTCTCGTCTCCAGGAGACCAACGAAGAGAGCAAATCTCTCCACAAGCCCGAGAAATTGAAGTCCTTTCGCGACAAAATCAACTCCGACGTCATGGCGGTTCTCAAAAAGGCCAAAGCCATCAAAACCCAGCTCGAGGATATGGATCGTGCCAACGCCGCAAACAGGCGCCTCTCTGGTTTCAAAGAAGGAACACCAATTTACAGAACGAGGGTCGCCGTTACAAACGGCCTGCGGAAGAAGCTGAAAGAGTTGATGGTGGATTTCCAGGGTTTGAGGCAGAGGATGATGACAGAGCACCAGGAAACCGTTGGAAGAAGGTATTTTACAGTCACTGGAGAGTACCCAGATGAGGAAGTGATAGATAAAATTATCTCCGATGGCCATGGCGGGGAAGAGTTTCTGAAGCGTGCGATCCAGGAGCATGGGAGAGGGAAAGTGCTGGAGACTGTGGTTGAGATACAGGATAGGCATGATGCTGCTAAGGAGATTGAGAGGAGCCTCTTGGAGCTTCACCAAGTGTTCATGGACATGGCTGTTATGGTGGAGACACAAGGTGAGAAGCTGGATGACATCGAGCATCATGTTCTGAATGCCAGCCATTATGTGAAGGATGGTACCAAAGAGCTGAAGACAGCAAAAGATTACCAGAAGAGTGGGAGGAAGTGGATGTGTATTGGTGTTATACTTCTGTTGTTGATTGTTCTTCTCATAGTCATTCCTGTTGCTACCAGTTTTAGCCACTCTTGAAGAGTTAATTCCCTGTTACTCTTTCAAGAGTCCAGTTTAGTATTGAGTACTAAAAGACTTGCTGCGAACAAGCAAGAAGCCTATGTAATATTGGTTCATTCTTTTCTTGAGCAATTGAAATGTTTGTTTGAGCAATGAGAGCAGTCTTTGAGACATTGGTACTCTTAAGATGAAAAGTTTGATGACTTGTACATACACTTCCCTGTCCAATGGACAGCGAGCCTCCTTAGGATGCTTCCTAGTGAATCGAAGAAATGTGAATATAGTATGAACTATGGAGGCTTGTGGGGGATGAATATAGAAAATGAATGTGAGAACTACTATCTCAACTTCCTCAATGGCAGAGCACCTCCAAAGAGTTTCTCCAGTTCACTGGCTTCCATTTTGAGCCCATTCAATAAATCCATCTCCTCTTTACTTAGCTCTCTCAAGAAGTATTCTTCATCCTGCTGGAGCTCTTTAAACCCCTCTGCCAATCTCTGGAATAAAGTCTGCTCGGTCTTTTCGGCCTCCAGGACTTGTTCTTCTATTTCTTCAACCTCTCTTATGATGGTCTTTTCTCCTTCTTCAACTGTCTTTTCCAATCTCTCAACAAGGGCAGGCTCGGGACCGCAGGTGTTGTTGGTTTTAATGAATTTGCTGAAGTCTCGTCCAACACTCTTAGCTGCTCTCTCGAGCTCTGGTACAATGCTTTCTGGTAAGACTGCACTCCTTGTGTAGACAACAGCACCTCCATAGCCATCCCATGCATCGTTCCTTCCCCGATAGTACACGAATACGTAGTCATCAGCTTTCTGCTCAATCTTTGAAGAGAGGATATACCTGTTGAATCAATTATTGAATGCCAACTGATTAGCATAATGATTTGGGATGAATGGAAGGTTTTGCAAGAAAGTCAGCACTTGCCAGTCATCTTGATAGTGAAGGTACTCATTGTCATGGTTGTAGAGTGCACCGGGCTGCATTGGATCTTGCGAAAACCTCTGCTCTGCATTCCGGGTAATAAAGCTTCCATCTGGGTACCCTATTCTCCATGATATGTTCCCCACAAGTCTGTCGCCTTCGGTATGAAACTCATGCAATTGGCAATCAAAAACATCAAAGCTAGGGTTTAGACCACTGGTGATGAACCATTTCCCTGTGAAGTCAGAAATGTTAAAGTTCTTGACAAGCACTGCCGGATCAGGGACAGGAAAGTCTCCAACATCAGATTTCTGAGGCACACACTTCTTTCGAGAGACTGCACACTCGTTGAACTCATCCACAACACTGTTTGCAAACAGGTCCCCACATTTGATCTGCATGGAAACTTTTGTAAACACAAATGAGTAAACCCCAATTGATACGACTTCTCCAGAAGGAGAGAGCAGTTTGATTGCTCCTTCTCCAAATTAAGATGAACATTCAACTAGAGGAAGATAAGTAGAAGAACTGACCTGGCATTCAGTTTCATCGGGCCGGTTATTGCAGGTCTGAAGGCAAGCAATATTGGCGGCGCATGAGGGATTCGAGATGCACTTGGCAAATTCTGGCCTAACAAATCAATAAGCGTGTAACTTGAATGAATAAAGGATCATCATACTGATATTTACTAGATAAACAGCTTATAAAGATGGAATTGAGAATATGGGTCTTTCTAAATGAGCTTAAACAAGCAGATATCAAGGCCATAGCAGAAGCTTGAGTTACCTGCACTCCTTCAACAAGCAAGCACAAGTTTTGAGAGCATCGACTGCCTCCGCTGAAGATGGAATGACCAACAATGAAAACGCTAATATTCCCAAGACTTCCAAGTACTGTCGTTTCGAGACATTTGATAGTATCTGTTTCACCTGAGGACATAAGAAAAGAAGGAAAATCTTAATTACAATCAAAGATAAGAAACTAAAAAGAGGAGGAAGGTAGCCAAAGGCAAAAGTTGAGAAGGCAAGACCACCTTGAGTATGGTCGTACTGGTGCTACTAGAACATGAAGCGAGCTTCTTTCTCCATTGGAGCAGCTGATTTGTGCCATTAACTACCACTTCGGTATCCAATCTACAAGACCTTGCCAAATGAAAGTGTCCAGGATTCCTGCTATGCTGTGAAATTCTCATCATCACAAGTAAACCGCGAAAATGGCGCCCCTTGGCCCTTCTCCCGTAGGTTATTTCACCATTTGCAAATCCTGATCCAGTGTAGGAGACGCCCAGAACTTCATCCCGAGGCAAGCAAATGGTTTTCCAAGCTAGTTCCATAGTTTAGAGTGTGTAATTCTGTTTGTTATCAGGAAAAAAGGGATAAGCTACAGCAGTGGATGACTGGATGGAGGGTTTGCCCAATTCGTACTACTATAATGAAAAAAGGGCCAAGATTCAAAACCATTGAATTCAAAGCCTACATTTGCCCTAATACAGTTTTCAATTTCAGACCACAGAGCGCCAATAGTAGCACAAAAGCAAACAACAGCTATTCCCATTAGCAAAGTGAAGCTCAGTTTAGCTCTAAGCCCAACAATCGCCAAGCAAGTTTAGCTCACACAACAAACTGTACAAGCAAATCATCTTGGCTACTAGTCTCAACTCGGTTTTGCGGTAGTACCAATTTCAGAAACGTATAAGAGAGTTTTTGGAGGAAACCCAAATGGAAGTTTAAGAGTGGAGAGCAAACTTTGAATGGAGATGCAAGAACCCAGTAAGCAGAAAGGGAGGGGAAGAAGCAATTAAACAAGCAAAATTCAGTCATTGCCAACTGGCCCTCCTACACTGAGGAGCACCAATTTCGTAGAAGTAGAAGCTACCCAGTGAAGTAAGAGAACCAGAGAGAGAGACACACATTACCTTGAAGAAGAGAACAGAGTGGGAGAATTTAGGACCAAGCAGAGGGGAAAAGTAGGGAAGGGAAGAAGCTTGGCGGGGAGAGATCGATCTGTGTTGGATAAGTCGCAAGTCGTTTTGTGGGGTTCAGCCATGATACGTATTCCATATCTTCCTCTCATTCCTTTCGCCAAATCCGAGCCCAAAAAAGTCCCCACCACTGCTCACTGGAACCTTCAAGTTTCCACTGATATTTTGGAAAACATTTCAAAATACAGAGATTAATAAAATAAATTCTCCCAATATCATACTTTATAAAAAAAATTCCTCAAAATATATACTAGAGGTTAGAAAAGTAGTAGTTCTTACAAAAAAAAGGTTAGAGTAGTTCGCACTATAAGTAAATTATATATTAACGCGTATCGATAACAATTTACACGTGATGAAATGTTTTTATAATAGGCAAAAAGAATGATTAATCGGTACATCCAACACCATTAATTAATTACCTCTCTATCTACTTGGATCTAGCATTGCATCAATGGCATTTTGAGATTGGAAATTTTTTTTTTCTTATCACAGAACCCTTAATTACAGATATCACTTTCAATGACCTACATACATATCAAACCCGGCCTGCTGGGCCATAACTGACAGTCTAAAGGTCTAAGGGGGTGTGCTTGTGAAGGCGAGTTAGAAGTACTACTAAAGGGAACATTATTTTTACCAAGAATCGAACACACTACCTCTTTTCGTTGTTTCACCAACTAGCTTAATCCTCATTTGGATCTTTTTGAAATTGTATAATTTTATGGAATATATTTGAGTCTTTCCAACATGTCATATATTTTGTTATTTTGTCTGAATAAATAGGAATATTTTAATTGGTATATTGGGAGGGGTTGAAACTAGCACCATTAAGCATATTCGCTTGCATCAGAAAAAATAATAAAAGCAAGAATTACAATCCCAGTAACTTGCTGTACAAAATTAAATGAGTGTTATTAATACTATATAGAGCACCAAACAAAGTTACAGAGCACTTATATATCGTCCCGAGTTCTGAATTCCAGAGATTAGAACAAGACGCGATCGAGCAGAAAATAACTACAGCCCTAGGATAGGAGGATTATTAATTAAGGAACAAACAAATTAATAGCCCTAGCTACAGAGCGACAGTTGGCTCCTACGATCGATGTCGTTGTTGTTGGTCCCGAATCTCGGAATGTACCAAGCTGCGGATGCGAGCGTCGTCGCGCTCGTTCTTCAGGCGGGTCCACCACCGCGGCGGCTTCGGTTTGGCCTTCGTTTTCGCCACCGCCCGTGTCGCCGTTGCAGTTGCTTCTTCACCCGCTTTTGCAACCGCCGCAGCCTGGCTCGGGCTCGTCTTCTTGGTGGTGGGTCCGGGGGGCTCAATGACCTTGGAGCGCTTCCTGTTCCTGGCTTCCTCGTGCGCCGCGTATCCTTTCTCCAACTTCCTCTTGCTCATCTCCAACTTCCGCTCGTACGACGCCGCATCATCATCCTTCGCTGCTGCTGCGAGCGACTTTGAAACGGCGACATCTTCCTTTGCTATGTTGGGGGAGCGGCGAAGGTCGACAGTGATGGTAATGTTGTTTCTTAAAGGCGGATTAGGGTTCTTGACCGTCTTCTTCTTGGGGATTGTAGAGGCTTGCTGCTGCTGTAAAGCCTTGTCCAGGTTGTGGAGGATGTGGGTTTGGCGGGCGGAGAGCTCGTCGGGCCAATGAAGGGCGGCGATGGCGAGGGCGGAATCCAAGATCTCCAGCACCTTCGATTTTGGCAGCGATGGAAGATCCTCGGGCCCCACTGCCCACGGCGGCAGACTGAGAGGAGCCGCCATCATCTTGATCAAAGACACTAGAACGGAAATCGCGTAGAGTGCTGAGCTTGCAGAAATTGGAAGGCCTAGTGCGCTTCAGTGGTTGCCTATTTATGGGAAAATGCATGGAGATTGGAGAACGAGTAGTGAGTGAGTGTACTGCGTCATTCCTTTTCCTACAAAGATTAGGAGCCTTCGAACAGTTGGCTGCTTGCTATCCAAGGCAAAGGCGGAAGGCGACACGAGGATTCCTTTTCCGTCTCTCTTTTCCGTCATGTACTGGGAATCTTTTCTCCAACTCGGAAACGGAAAGAAAAAGCTAGAGGACGGGCGCCGGGAAGCCCAAATATCAAAGGCCCAATTGTTGAAAGTTTATGTACAAGCACACTACTCTGGGCCCAATTACGGAATGTCACTGCCGCTCATCAGTCTCCAAACGAAACGTAAGCTGCAAAACAGATAACACATGCATACGCTGGATTTGGGAAATGGGAACTGTGGCTGAGGAATTTGTTTCTGTACGTACCACAATGAAAAGAAACTATTCAACTTCATTTTCTAAATTTTGGCTTTGATAAATTCATAACGGTTCAAGATAAGGTGTATAATATGAGTAATCAAATTTGGATCTTTCTTTTGAGTGATTGTACATCTACTAGTTGTAAAGTAAAGACATTTTTTTTTCTTTATTTCTCTTAATCAGATAATATATTCTTCATTCTAACTCGAATTTCAAATTTTTTTTCTTCACAAATGGAATAAGTTCGTTGTGCTCTACAAAATGAGATACATTTTCAATATTCTTTGAAGAAAAAAAAAATTCATCCCTCTCGTTACCAATTCCAGACCATATGGTATCTTCTTCGATTTTAGTCGTTTTCAGATTTTTTTTTTTTTTTGCATAGAAAGAACGATTTAAACATGATCTATTGGATTTCAAGAATTTCTAGGTGAAAAAATTTCATACCTCTCGTTACCAACTCCATACCATACTATACCACCCTAGTATGAGGTGGTATTTTACATACCATGATATGCTTATTTAATACTAGTCAATACCATATGGTATAGACTGGTAATAACTGGCTCAAATTTTTTTGCTCCAAAATATATCATTTTGAAGAGCACAATTAATATGATCTAAGTGTGCAAAAAAACAAGTGATAAATCGTTCGTTAAAGATTAAAGATGGGAAAATTAAAGGCTTTCCAGAAAAGAGAAGGGGCGCTGATGTGGCGGATTCTGATTGGGTTCTGCATGAATTATTGACCACAAGGTTATGCACCTGATCCGCTCCATGGGTAAACCCCATTTTATATTTTGAATCTAATGGCTCGTTAAAAAAACACATATTTGGTCATGAAACATTTATGGGCTGTTTCGATCAAGGTGAGGGAAACACAAGAAAGAAAAAACAGAGACCAGACAAGGGGAGAATAGCAGAACAGAGAGACGAAAAAAAGGAGAAAAAGACACATCAGAATGAGGCCAAAAATCATCCAATTCGACTTTGTCGAAGGAGAAATTTCCCTATTCTTTGCTGATATTCCCATGAGCAGTTGTCCACTCGACAATTATGTGTTAGTCATTAGTGTCAAGGAATCTATATATATATATATATATATATATATATATATGGTATATATATATTAGTCGTGTAACCTAATTAACAAGCAAATAAGATTGACTTGGAGAGTTTAGACTCTCCCATTGACTAGTCCTGTTGATAAGGAAAACCACATTAGCTCGGTGTTCTTGTTCTTTGTTTATATTTGACATGGTATCAGAGCCCTTCTGATTCTTGACCTGACGACGTATAGGTGATCTTGGACGTTGTTTGTGGGGTTTTGGACAACGACCGTTGCTATTCTTTCTGGTAGGTATTGGCGGCGCTTTCATGTTGCTCCAATAATTGAAGGCTTGGTTTTCTTGGACAACGTATTTGGGTGACCACTATCTAGGCTTGTTCGCACCTATGGATTCTGCAAAGATGGAGGCGGCTGCGATAAGATTTGATGGGACTAATTTCCCTTTGTGGGAGTTCCAGTTCATGAACTTCGTGGAAGGACAACGGCTATCGACGATTTTGATCGGCGAATCGAAGAAGTTAGCGGACGACGCTACTGACCAACATTAGAGCGATTGGGCGGTTGTGAATGCCCGGATTGTTATCTGGATGTTGGGTTCTGTTGATGTTCCGGCAGCATTAAGTCTTCGCAAGTTTGGTACTGCGCATGAGATGTGGATGCATATTTGCAATACCTATTCACAGGCAAATACATCGCGTCTATATGAGCTGGAATTTGTTATGGGACATCTTTCTCAAGGCGATTGGGACGTGCAAGGCTATTACAAGGATTACCTGCAGATGTGGACTGAGTATGACTTGGTGACGACTTTTTTGATGATAGGCCAACTGATGTTCTCAAGGAAAGAACTCACACGCGTGTTATGCAGTTACTTTTAAAACTGAAGCCCGAATTTGAACCCATCCGTGCGTCTCTCATTCATCGGGGTATAACTGATTTTGATGTTGTGATTGCAGATCTTCTTCGTGAAGAAACACGCTTGAAGAGTCAATCCCATATTGTTGGCAGACTTCTAAGACTACGTTTGCTGTGGGACGACAGGGGTCTTCTTCTCGTCCTCAATTTGGGACTCTATCGAATGGAGAGGTAACGTGTCATTTATGCCTTGAACCTAGTCACGTTCAAATCCAATGTAAGAAGCGCAATTATTTTAATTACTGCAAGACGGCGGGGCATATTGTGTTGGAATGTCCTACATTGAAAAGTGGGGGGAAATTCATTTTCCTAACTCCGAGTCCTCTGCGGGTGCTGCGCCCTCGGCCAGCCATCCTCCTTCTGGTGCAGCGTATGCGGTCTCCTCTGGTCATTCTGGGCCGGCAACGAGCTCTTTTGGCAGCGCAGGTGTTGCAGCTTTTTTTGTACTGATCTGGTCTGAAAATTGGATCAAGAAGCATTACAGGAAGCACTTCCCCAGTCATTGAATTCGGCATTCGCCACAGGGCTGTCTCTGGTAAGTCGACCCATTGGTTATTAGATTTGGGAGCGTTGAATCATATGACCCACCTTGAAAGCATCGTTGAACCCGTGGTTGAGACACTTTAGGAAGGTCCCTTGCTATCTCTCACAAGAATCTTGGACAGTCTCATCCTCATCTTACGCAAAATGGGTGATCTCCTTTTGCAGATCCGCCATTTTAGATGGAGGATGGTATCGGGTCAGGAATTTATCAACCAAGGCGGTCCACATGGTGATCGACCCCGGAGGCCGGTGGTCCAGCCACATCTTGGCCTGACCCTCCAGAATGAATGGGAATTAGCGTAGGCGGATGGCGTCTTCAGGGACC